TCCTTCAAAAGCTCCTGGGTTGCTTTTGCAGTGTGTTTTTGGATCATTGTCCATCTGTACAGTGAAGCACCGTCCAATCAACTTTGCTGCATTTGTCTGAATCTGGGCTGACAGCATATGTGTAACTGCTGCAGATCTCATCCGGCTGCTTCTGTCTTCTTTCACATCATCAATACACACCAATAACCCAGTGCCACTGGAAGCCAGGCATGTCCATGCCATCACACTGCCTCCACCATGTTTTACAGATGACATTTTGTGCTTTGGATCATGAGCTGTTCCAAGCCTTCTCCATACTTGTTTCCTCCTGTCATTCTGGTACAGATTAATAGTAGTTTCATCCGTCCAAAGAATGCTTTTCCAGAACTGGTCTGGCTTTTTTAGATGTTTTTTTGGCAACGTCTAATCTGGTTTTTCTATTCTTCAGGCTTATGAATGGTTTCCACCTTGTGGTGAAACCTTTGTATTTGCTCTCATGAAGTCTTCTTTTGATTGTAGACTTTGACAATGATACGCCCACCTCCTGGAGAGTCTCCTTCACTTGTCTGGATGTTGTGAATGGGCTTTTCTTTACCATAGAAAGGATCCTGTGATCATCCACCACTGTTGTCTTCTGTGGGTGTGCATGCCTTCTTATGTTGCTGAGCTTACCAGTGCGTTCTTCTTTCCTCAGAATATACCAAACTGTTGATTTGGCCACTCCTAATGTTGCTGCTATCTCTCTGATGGAGTTGTTTAATTTTTGAAGCCCTATAATGGCATGTTTCACTTGCATGGACAGCTCCTTTGAACGCATGATTTAGGTTCACAGCAATAGATTCCAAATGCAAATAACACACTTAGAATCAATTCCAGACCTTTTACCTGTGTAATTGATGAAGAAATAATGGAGTAGCTCACACCTGGCCATGACACGGCTTTTGATTCAATTGTCCAATTACTTTTGGTCCCTTGAAAAAGGGGGGTTGGATACTCTTAAGAGCTGTAATTCATAAACCCTTCCTCCAATTTGGATGTACATACCCTCAAATTAAACCTGAGAGTATGCACTTTCAGCCCATATCCATTATATAACTATGTTTTAGTAAATACCTGAAAAAAAACAAAAATTGTGCCTGTGTCCAAATATATATGGAACTAACTGTATCTTCCTATTTAGAGGTAACCCAGTATTTTCTGCAGGGGAACAACATATGGCTTTTCACAGATGGGCAAATTAAGGTTTGATATGGACACAGGAAATCCATACACTTTTCAGGCTTTTAAGTCAGAAGTATCATATTCACCTATTGGGTTATTTTTATTTTTTGCAAGTGTCCTCTTATTGGATGAGTATCACACCACATCCTGTATGGGACATGTCTACTATCTTTTTTGGACACCTTAGCAGAAACCATAGATTTATTCATATCAGTTATTTATCCATCCCTGGCAAGGTTTAGAGCCTTTGACTTGGGTACGTCTAACATCTGGGTACCTAAAATACTCCAGGGATACCAAAGTGTTTGATTTTAATAAATGAAGCATGGCATGAGACAAAAGATAATGCATCAAGCATATTTACCAATTCAATGCCATGATCCGCAGACAGGATTTGACCATAGACACACAAAATGTGGAGAACAAAAGGGCACATTATTTTTAGTATTGTCCCTTGGTTGAAAGGTTTTGGAAGTAAGTGTTGGTTTATGCATCTAAAATTTGTGGTTATAGTATACCGGAAAACCATGTGCTATTGGAAGAGAGTGCAAAAGGGATAGCCAGGGAAATACAATATACAATTGGTTCACATATCTTTAATAACAGCAAGAAATGCATACTTGGGGAATGGTATAATCAATTTCCTCCAACTCTAGAAAAGGTTTTGAGAGAAGTAAAAAAAAAAAACCTTGCTTTATTTAGAAAATTTATCAATTAAAATAGGCAAGGGGTGAGGGAGTCAATATTACATATGGAGAAATCTTTAACAGCAGGAAAAAGATATATTATCTACTTGGGTGTACATACGTTGTAAACCTAAAATATGATAGGTGACCGCATGTTTCTGGTTCTTTTTTTTTCTTTGATTCTATTTTGTGCAGTCTAAATTCTGGATTTTGTCTACCTATGAAAAATATTTATATAATATACGAGAGTTTTGACCATGAAAATAAGGGAGTTGTGACAATAAGAAGAAAATGATGGTAAAGGAAGTATATAGGAATTTAGTTGATTGGTGATTTTGATTCTTTTAATGAGATGGAGCCAGCAAACCATATATCACAAAAAAATTTATCCTATCAAAAAGATTTTTTTTATATAATATCAAGTGATTGACATATTGATACAGGAGGTATATTTGTATAGATATTGGATTCCTTATTTTTCTATTTCAGTATTTTATTGGCCTTGTCAGCTTTCTGGGCCCAAAAAAAATCTGACGCCTGGGTCCTGAGTGTTGTTTTTCAGGAGTTATTAACTGGTGTTTCACTCCCCACCTCATGTTCTACATCTTCTCTCCTTCGCCATCCCAGCTGGCCAGTCTGCTTTTAGCCGTTCAGCATTTTTTGAGCCAGGCTGTCCCCACCCGGACAACACATTCAAGGGATCTACTCCAACTTTTTTACAGTTTTCTGACTGAATCCAGAAGTTCAGTTCATTCTGGATCTGAGATCTTCACCTTGTTCCTGTGAGTTGCAGAGCTTGTGAAGACTGAGATTGAGCTCTGCAGTCACTTTTGCAGCAGTTATTTTCTTATTCCAGGTCAAAATCCTGTGTATTGGCCTTTTGTCTCTTTTGGTCAGTTGACCATGTCAGCTGTGTTTATGCTTATCAGACTGTTTTCCTGGGAACTGTATATGCCTTCATAACCTTTGATAACTATACCTCGTGACATGACAAGTAAATTGGCAACTTTATACACAGAAGCACCAGCTAAGCGGACGCCAACAATTTGTCCTCTATGAAGCTCAGTAAGCTCTAACATGACTCCATATTACTAGCAGCGCACAGAGTGAATGACCAAAGTGAGGCATCCCATCTGGAAGCTAGGTGTCTCATCACACAGCGGAAGCAAAAGAATGTTGCATCACTTCCGTTTTCAGTGCAAAATATGTCACTTTCACACATCAAATCATGTAGTGTTTCCATTTATTTGTCCAACCCCTGTAGCTGCAGATAAGCCAGTCACAATGATTTAAAGAATCCTGTGTCCTGTGCTATACCCCAAGAAACATATTTTGGAGCCAAGTCAATTTTTGGGGGAACCCTGTAAAAAGGTATTAACTTAATGTATGTTAATGTTTTAATTCCATAGTTTTATTTTTTTTAAAGATATGTTTATTGGTGTTTTCATACAAAAATGAAGCCATGCAGTACAAAAAAAGTACAAAAACATAAAGATAAACAGGTCTATACAGACTCTCAAGTCTCTACAATGTTAGTAGTAATTAAAGATTTGACTTTACATTGAGTATAGCTTAGCAATAGTAATGATCAGGAAATAGGGTAAACCAGCAGAATATAAATCAAATTTTGACCAGATAGGTCAATATTAGAGAACTAGAGATCCAGTGGTTGCAAATCTTATCAGTTTTGTTTAATGATTAGTGTATAGAGAGGAAAACTAGCATTAACCAATTGTAACCAAGTATCCAAGTATTAATCAATGGGGAGCAAGGTCCTTTGAACGAGAGTAAAATGTTTTCTTGGCATAGAGATACAACTCCAATTCCAAAAAAGTTGGAAATATTTGCAAATCTCAAACACATTTTATTTACAAAAGAAAAAACATATCAAATGTTTAAACTTAGAAAATGTACCATTTTAAGAAAAAATTAAGGTAATTTTTTTAAATTGATGGCAGTAACATCTCTCAAAGTTCGGACAGGATCATATTTACCATGGTGTAACTTTCCCTCCCTTCCCTTTTAATAACCCTCTGTAAATGTCTGGTAACTGAACAGACCGGTTTTTGGAGTTTTGGGAGAGGAATGTTGTCACCTTCATGCCTGATATAGGAGTCGAACTGCTCAACAGTCCTGGGTCATGTTTGCTGTATTTTTCGTTTCGAGATTAACCAAATTTTTTCAGTTGGTGAAAGGTGTGGACTGCAGTCAGGCAGGCCAGTTTGGCACGCAGACTCTTATACTACGAAGCCATGCTGTTTTCATAGATGCAGTATGCGGTTTGGTATTGTCCTGATGAAATAAGCAAGGCCTTCCCTGAAAGATATGTCTGAAGGGGGGAGCATATGCTGCTTTAAAACTTAGATATACACTATATTGCCAAAAGTATTGGGATGCCTGCCTTTACACACACATGAACTTTAATGGCATCCCAGTCTTAGTACGTAGGGTTCAATATTGAGTTGGCTCACCCTTGCAGCAGCTCTAACCGCTTCAACTCTTCTGGGAAGGCTGTCCACAATGTTTAAGAGTGTGTCTGGGAATATTTGACCATTCTTCCAGAAGCACTGATTTCAGACCAGAAGGCCTGGCTCGCAGTCTCCGCTCTTATTCATCCCAAAGGTGTTCTATCGAGTTGAGGTCAGGACTCTGTGCAGGCCAGTCAAGTTCCTCCACCCCAAACTGACTCATCCATGTCTTTATGGACCTTGCTTTGTGCACTGATGTGCAGTCATGTTTGAACAGGAAGAGGCCATCCCCAAACTGTTCCCACAAAGTTGGGAGCATGAAATTGTCCAAAATGTCTAGATATGCTGATGTCTTAAAAGTTCCCTTCACTTTAACTAAGGGGCCGAGCCCAACCCCTGAAAAACATCCCCACACCATAATCCCCCCCCTCCACCAAACTTTACACTTGGCACAATGCAGTCAGGTAAGTACCGTTCTCCTAGCAATCGCCAAACCCAGACACATCCATCGGATTGCCAGACAGAAAAGTGTGATTCATCAATCTAGAGAAAACGTCTCCACTGCTCTAGAGTCCAGTGCTTTACACCACTACATCTGACGCTTTGCATTACAGTTTGTGTTGTAAGGCTTGGATACAGCTGCTCGGCCATGGAAATTAATTCAATAAAGCTCTATGCACTGTTGTGCTAATCTGAAGATCACATGAAGTTTGAAGGTCTTTAGCTATTGATTCTGCAGACCGTTGGTGACTTCAGCGCGCTTCAGCACGTGCTGACCCCGCTCTGTCATTTTACGTGGCCTACCACTTCGTGGTTGAGTTGCTGGTGTTCATAGTTGCTTCCACTTTGTTATAGCACCACTAACAGTTGACCGTGGAATATTTAATAGCAAGGAAATTTCACGGATGGACTTATTGCACAGGTGGCAACCAATCACGGTACCATGCTTGAATTCACTGAGCTCCTGAGAGCAACCCATTCTTTCACAAATGTTTGTAGAAGCAACCTGCATGCCTAGATGCTTTATTTTATACACCCGTGGCCATAGAGGTGATTGAAACACCTGAATCCAGTGATTTGAAGGGATGTCCCAATACTTTTGGCAATATAGTGTATCTTTCAGCATTGATGGCGCCTTTCCAGATGTGCAAGCTGTCCATTCCATATGAACTAATGCGTCCCCATAAATCAGAGATATACAGTCTTTTGATCTGAGAACTGATAAACTGAAAGTCTCTCTCCTCTTTAGTCAGGAGGATGCAGTGCACATGGTTCCCAAAAAGAATGTCAAATTTTAATCCATCTGCCCACAGAACAGTTTTCCACTTTTCAACAGGTCCAATTTTAAATAGGCTTTGGCCTAGGGAAGGTGTCGGTGTTTCTGGATCATGTTCTCATATGTCTTCCTCTTTGCATGATAGAACTTTAACTTGCATTTTGGATGGGAACAAACTGTGTTCACAGAAAGTGAGCTCATGCAGTGATATCCATCATGGAATCATGATAATTTTTAATGCAGTGCCATCTGAGGAACTGAAGATTTTTGGCATCCAGTATTGTGTTTTGGTCTTGTCCCTTGCGCACAGGGATTTGTAAAGATTCTCAAACGTTCAATATTATTATGTACTAAAGATGATGATATATTTAAAGTCTTTGCAATTTTACATGTAGGAACATTATTCTGAAATTTTTAGATTTAGAAGCATTTCACAGATTAGCAAACCTCTGCCCATCCTTCTGAGACACTCAAACTCTCTAAGATGCCCTTTTTTATCATGTTACTGACCTGTTGCCAATTAACTGAGTTAGTTTGCAAAATGTTTTGCAAAATGTTTTTCCAACCCTTCCTTATTAGTACCAGATACTTTGCCAGATTTGTGTTGCCCTATCCCAAATTTTTTTAGCTGCCATGAGTTTCAAAAGTACCCTATTTTTTTTTTTTTTTAATTTCTCAGTTTAAACATTTGAAATGTTTTCTATTTTCTATTGTGAATAAAATATGGGTTTTTGAGATTTGAAAATCATTGCTTTCTGTTTTTATGTAGATTTTTACACAGCGTCCCAATTTTTTGGTGCTCTGATGCCCCTTAAAAATGCCGCACTGCTTCCACCACAGACATACCTAAAGGCCTCCTTGTGAAGAGGAGTCAAAAGTCACTGCCAATGTCCTACCGAGGACAGAGCGCAAGCCCCCCCTTCCCTCCTGGCATGGATGGTGCACACAGGGCCCAAGCAGAGGCAGGCTCTGTGCCCCACCAGAGGCTCTCCTCCCCCGGATTTCCCCAACCATGTTGATCTGCAGCCCCGGCCACCCCCTGCCGGCCAGTTCGGGAACCCAGAGTCCGTGCAGCAGGCGTTGTCCAGCCCGACCCGCCCAGTAAGCAGAGTTCCAGTCTGATATGGGAGTCAGGAGGAAGCAGGGAGAGTGGGAGGGTGGCTGAGTGGCTCCAACATGGGTCTCTGGGCTGTACTTGCCACTGGGCCAAAAGTTGTCAGTCAGCCCCTGTATGAACTTGAGCAGAAGCCATCTTTTCTTATTATTTTTTTCTAAGAGGCTGATATACCTTTGATAGCGGTATCATTGTCCACACACCTGCTATACTCTGCAGTAGCACACCACATCATGGCCCACATTTTATGACCTTTTCATAAAATGCGGGCAGTAGTTTGGAGCCTGTTGTCTTTTATAGAATTCTCCTTGTTTATGTTGGCAGAGAAAACTCTTGATTGGAGGACTGCTGATCAAATGACTGACAGGTCACGTGACCTGGCTCTCCTTCTCCTCCCTCCCATTCCCCACTCCTATTCATTTTATTAGCGCTAAGCCCATTTGTAAAGCACATTACTACTTACTGTAAATGTGCTAGGTTTTTCTTTTTTTAAATCCCGTGGTAAATCCATACCACTGCTTTTTAATAGAGTCCTACAAAGCCACGCTTGGTAGCAATACAAGATGGAAAATGGTTGTGCTTTACAGCATCTCCTAAAAGTCTGGGGTGATTGACTCAGCATGTTTGTGTAGCTGTATTAGGGAAGTATGACTTCAAGGATGGTTTTAGATGCCAGTAGTTACAACAGTGGCTTCTGACTCATGCCAGTTTGGAAGAATTCCCATTTTTTAATGCTTTGGTTTTTTTTTTTGTTGAATTAAATTATGTTTTTTATTATTGTACAGCACTGTTGGTTTTTTTAAGTGGACTTTCAATCAATAAAACTACTTTAGATCTGAAGATTCCCTATGCTTAAAAAATAGCAGCTAGATGCCACAAATACAGTGGGGCAAAAAAGTATTTAGTCAGCCACCAATTGTGCAAGTTCTCCCACTTAAAAAGATGAGAGAGGCCTGTAATTGGCATCATAGGTAGACCTCAACTAGGAGAGACAAAATGAGGAAAAAAAAATCCAGACAATCACATTGGCTGATTTGGAAAGAATTTATTTGCAAATTATGGTGGAAAATAAGTATTTGGTCACCTACAAACAAGCAAGATTTCTGGCTCTCACAGACCTGTACCTTCTTCTTTAAGAGGCTCTTCTGTCCTGCACTCATTACCTGTATCAATGGCACCTGTTTGAACTTGTTATCAGTATAAAAGACACCTGTCCACAACCTCAAACAGTCACACTCCAAACTCCACTAAGGTGAAGACCAAAGAGCTGTCGAAGGACACCAGAAACAAAATTGTAGACCTGCACCAGGCTGGGAAGACTGAATCTGCAATAGGCAAGCAGCTTGGTGTGAACAAATCAACTGTGGGAGCAATAATTAGAAAATAGAAGACATACAAGACCACTGATAATCTCCCTCGATCTGGGGCTCCACGCAAGATCTCACCCCGTGGGGTCAAAATGATCACAAGAACGGTGAGAAAAAATCCCAGGACCACACGGGGGGACCTAGTGAATGACCTGCAGAGAGCTGGGACCACCGTAAAAAAAGGCTACCATCAGTAACACACTACGCCGCCAGGGACTCAGATCCTGCAGTGCCAGACGTGTCCCCCTGGTTAAGCCAGTACATGTCCGGGCCCATCTGAAGTTTGCTAGAGAGTATTTGGATGATCCAGAAGAGGATTGGGAGAATGTCATATGGTCAGATGAAACCAAAATAGAACTGTTTGGTAGAAACACAACTCGTCGTGTTTGGAGGAGAGAGAATGCTGAGTTGCATCCAAAGAACACCATACCTACTGTGAAGCATGGGGGTGGCAACATCATGCTTTGGGGCTGTTTCTCCCCAAAGGGACCAGGACGACTGATCCATGTACAGGACAGAATGAATGGGGCTATGTATTGTGAGATTTTGAGTGCAAACCTCCTTCCATCAGCAAGGGCATTGAAGATGAAACGTGGCTGGGTCTTCCAAAATGACAATGATCCCAAACATACCGCCCGGGCAACGAAGGAGTGGCTTCATAAGAGTGGCCTAGCCAGTCTCCAGATCTCAACCCCATAGAAAAACTTTGGAGGGAGTTGAAAGTCCGTGTTGCCCAGCGACAGCCCAAAACATCACTGCTCTAGAGGAGATCTGCATGGAGGAATGGGCCAACATACCAGCAACAGTGTGTGCCAACCTTGTGAAGACTTACAGGAAATGTTTGACCTCTGTCATTGCCAACAAAGGATATATAACAAAGTATTGAGATGAACTTTTGATATTGACCAAATACTTATTTTCCACCATAATTTGCAATTAAATTCTTTCCAAATCAGCCAATGTGATTGTCTGGATTTTTTTTTCTCATTTTGTCTCTCATAGTTGAAGTCTACCTATGATGCCAATTACAGGCCCCTCTCATCTTTTTAAGTGGGAGAACTTGCACAATTGGTGGCTGACTAAATACTTTTTTGCCCCACTGTATGTACTTATGTCGTGGAGTTAGGTCCCCCTGTGTCAGGCTAGCTGCTGTCTTCACTTCCACCTATGCAGCTTTGCCATGTGTCTGTATGAGGAAGAATGGTTTGTCTGCCTTTATCTCACATACAGCTGTAGCGAAGATGCAAGAAGTGGAAGGGAACACCGAAGAGATGGACTGAACTTTAACCTTCCCACTTCAGGAACTAAATAAGTATCTGCAGGGTCTAGCTGCTATTGTGTAAACTATTTTAGATTTAATTAATGATAATAGTCTTCTAATGCATATGTAAACTTTGTTAACATTGTAACTAACCTTTTTTTTTACATTTTAATTCTATGATCTTAAGTTCTGTTATGTGTTTTTTGAGTAACTTTCCCTATATGCTGCTTGCAGGAATTTTCAGACAGCAGAATCCTGTGTCTTGCAGTTGCGACTCTACCTGGTGAGAGGGAACAGTGGATCTTGGCAGGGACACAATCTGGTGACATAGTGTCCATGCTAACTGAAGATCTCCAAATAAAACATTGCATTCAGAAAATGCCTGATTCCATTACGTGCTTGTTGTTTTGCTGTGTAGTGCAGCAGAGGTATGTTTTAAGTATATTTATAATAATCTTGTATTATCCTAGAATAATATGATAAGAAAAAACAATAATTTTCATTGTAAATGTTACAACTGCATTGTTAAATTTGTTGGTGAAAGTGTACACACCATAAGTTGCTACATATTTTATTATTTACTATTCCTTTTTATGTAAGTGGAACCATGTGTGCATATATTCTTCTTACCAGCTGTTTGGATTCACCTTACCACTGTCATAGCAGTTTTTACATGTTTTACTAAAATGCACATTTTAGGCCTGAAGATTATTTAAAACCTCCAAAACTTTTTATATTTTCTAAAAGCAGAGAACATGTAAAGTTAAATTTTGACAGCTGCAATGTTTTATATCTCACAATATTAGTGCACACAAACACAATACCCAATTTTTGGTAAAATACAAAAGAGAGGAAATAAATAGATGCCAAACACATCAGGCCTCAGAATTCCATGCACTTGTGAAACATGATGGTACCAAAAATTATAATATATAGGCAATGATTTAAAGGTCTTTACACCTAATCAATTTACAACCCTAATTTCAAAAAAGTT